TATAAAATACTGCAGAAATCTTACAGTATGATCTTCTACGATCGTATATGATGTTACAAGATCTTGTAATAAAATCTTACAAGAATCTTACAGTACGATATTCGTCTGGTACGTGGTGACAATGATTATCATACCAAATCGTACAAGATCGTATATAATTTTCGTACGATCTTGCAAGAACATACATGATCTTGAAGTACGATCTTGTATGATCATATAAGAATCTTGTAAGATCTTACAGTATGATTGTTTGACCTGGGTTACTATAAATAGCAAGCATAAAGCAGTTACTATAAATATTCTCATTAAGACAATTGGGAATTCAAAAAATTTGGTAGTATGTTGAAAAGAACATACAATTGAAATTCTACTCTTGTCTGTAATAAGATTGTTATTTCTAATGAAAGTCAAAGTGAAAGAAAACTGATATTATCATTAGATTCGGCATCATGCATAACCTCTAGGCTCTGACTTTTAAGTTGTAATCTCTTCGTTTAAGCACTTTTCTGTTATTTGGAATTCCTCTCATTAAATGGAAGAACCATGTACAGGTATCTCTTTAAATGTATAGTACAGATGATATTTCTTACTCCATTCCGTGGCACAGCTGGTTCGCAAGCCAAGCATCTTTTTTTTTCTTCTGTACAACGTTGTTTAATATCTTCAGAACTATCTTGAACTGAAAAAGAGGGAAAGTGAGAACTTTGGTCCATATAAAGAGTAGACTTACTAAATGATACAGAAATTGAGAAATTTTCTTTCTTTGAATCGTCTCTCATCTTTTCGCTTGACTGCCCAACTTCTTCTAAGTAGTAATGAATAAAATAATTGAAATCACAAATTATGCTTGCAATATTGTAAGACTCGGGATTCGATACAACTTTTAAACGTTTTCAAAATAATAGTGAAATACACAGTCACACTTTCACCCTGTTTACAAAGTTTCATTCAGTGTACCCAAAAATCTCGTTCCTCAAGGCTATCAGAGATCCATATATTGAACATTTCAATTGTGGACTCTTTACACAATCTAGAAAGAACAGGCAGAATTCCATAACTATAAGTGTCAGGTCAACCGTACTGTGCAGTCTGAAGTATTTTAAAAAAAGACAAAGGCATTTTTAATTTACACGACCCGTTATTCAGCTTTTATGTGTTTCAGTCGCTTACTTGGTTCAACTTTCACTTTTTCCGATTCTTTGACATCGATATTATTGTCACCATTTTCACGTTTTCGTTTAGCAAGATTTAGTCGATATTTCTGTTCTTTCACTGTTTGGCACGTAACGTCGTCGACCAAGAACCAACCCTCTTGGACAGTTCCGTTTAGTGTGTACTTGACGAGATATTGATAATGATCATCTTTTGCTCTGACGATTGTTCCATTTGCAGTTATAAACAAAATCAGTCTACTCCACCATTACCTTACACTGACTTTTTTAGTAGATTGCCCCAACAAGAAGAAACGATGGACTTTTGCTTCCCGCGAATGTGTCCGGACTACTCCTCTTTCTGTCTTAGAAAGTCTGTATCTATCATTGTTTCCAAGTGGTACATGCTTATCGGGTGTACAGGATTGTGACTTCTTTTCATTTCAGAACTTTGAATACGGATTGAAAAAAGATGACGGAATCCACTTTTCATCTACTTAACGGTTGGTAAACAAAGAAAATTCATCTACTTTTCTGGATGTACAATAGAGAAAAGTGGATGGCACTGATCCGACGTCAAATTTCACAGATCGTTGAATTTCTCTAGAGGTAGTTGTTGTCACGGAGCAAACACTGGGCTGGTAAGTTATAAACTGTTCATTTTCAAAATTTAATCTGGACATCACAGAGGACAGTGAAATCAATTAAAGAATTTCCGTCATGTACACAGAAGATGCTGAAGCTCTACGATACTGTCATTTTCGGAAACACACAGCATTTCCAACAACAACAATGTCTTGAAGATCAAGTTAAGGTGATTTTGTTCGATACAATAGGTAGAAGGAGTTTAAAGGGCGCTTTATACTGTTATGAATTTTATGAGAGATAAAACTGTAGTTGTAAAAAAGCTGATTCATTTTTGAGACAATTAAATACGTGACTTAATAAATAAACGTGTATAATCAATCTATCTTTCTACAAAACACACGTGTCATTTGCCCTATTTTTACGGAGAAAAAAATTTTTTCCTTAATAAACCGTTATAGTATAGTGAGGAACGAGCGCAAAAGAACTAAATTTACCAAATAACTAAAAATTTTATATTTTGTATAGTCTTAACTGATGAAGATGAAAATTGTTGGTTTCTATGTATTTGTATGTTGGAGTTCAATAACCCTTATATTTGCTTTACAAAAATGTTATGTATCAGTTCAACGAGATTCTCAAAGTTATGACTGTATTAATATTGGAGAAATGATGTATTGTAATAGTGACCCGTTTACACCCGCAGCGAATATGTGTATTAATGGACAAGTTTGGAGTTTTGAAAATTTAACAACAAGTGGTTACAAAATAGATGATATTCAAAAGTGGCCAGTTCCAGTTGAGATTGTTGAAGATTATACTATGTACGAAAATGGGACATTACAAGACACAGGTAATAAGATACTGTGTAACTGTTCAATAGGTTTTATAGGACGTCAATGTGAGTATGATGCAAAAGAACTAAATTGTGTTGCGTGAACAGATTAAAAACTTTAGTGTTCTTTGTAACTTGAGATTTTTATATAATCTTTATTTGTGTGTATTTCAAATAACTTTTGATTTTATTAGTAAACCTTTGTGTTTAACCCTGATATTCATTTCAGAAAAAGTCCGAAAAACGACTATTCTAACTTAGCATCACATGATAAATCCTGCGGGATTATAGAACGGTTTGGCCAAATGTTACGGAGTCTCATTTTTTCGTCTTCTGTATCCATTATCTCGGCAAAGAAGCAACGTTTATCAATGAAATTTATACCAATGATGGATATTAGGGAGTTCTACTACCAAAAATAATTTGAGTTTGATTGAACAAACGAATCAAAAGTTATAATCAAAATACAGACTGTTACGGAATTTCCAAAAATGGAAGTGTTTTTCAGGATATTCCATTAAAATGTAAATTATTCAGCCTTAAATTAATTTTAAAATGATTGCTTAATTACCAAATTAAAGCTCACAGTTTGGGCAATCGGAATCACTACTGACTGACTTTTTCTTGAATTAGCAGAGGAAACCGAATAAAGTTTGGTATATATTCTTTCTGTCACAGAACTACTTGGCAAGCTCTGATTTGTACATAGATAGACAGTTTGAGGTGTCCGTCATCCCATGCAGCCAAAAATAAATTTTCAAAGTTAGGTTAAATGGGCATAAAAATTGCTCACAAAATAAGCACCAAAACGTTTTTTAGAAAAATAAATAAACCTTGGCATCTAAACGTCAAAACAAATGAGCACTTTGACGCATGTACATGCAGTAGAATGTACATACAGAGAAAATTGTGCTGTTACTTCTACATCTTTCTCTCGAAGATTGACATCTTCCCCCTGCTTTGCTCTGGCCACGACACGCATATTTTCATCTCTCGAAGAAGACCTAGAAACGGTCACGAGGACACAGCGTGTTTTAGTTGCATAGACCAGTGAAAAACAATATTTTTTAGAAAATAATCTAACTTTTTTAGATAGCCTTTTACCGATTTAGAAAGAGTTTTGAACCCGCCGATTCGATCCGACTGAATTTTTTTCAAACGGTTCCAACTCTGCTGTATAGCAGCACTAGTCAAGCGAATATTGAACGATTAGAGAAACTACAGAATGAAGCTCTTCTGCTTATCCCGGGAGTTTGCCGCGGCACACTTTCGATAACCGAAAAGTCAAATATTTTGTGCTTAAAACAATAAAAAGTTAACATCACTATTGTGCTAAATGAAAAACTAAAAAGGACGCATGTGTACGCTTATTACAACGCCTTAAAATGTGGACGTTGTTATGAACTCATCTCAATCTAACGATTGTGTATTATGAAAGATTCCTTAGTTGCATAATTTTTGTTCATCCATGCGAAAAACTCAACCTTTTCTCCAAATATCTTATTGCACTACTATCGTGTTAAACAGTTTGAGTGAGAATTTGACTTTTCAATGATTGAAAGAGTGTCGAACCGCGAAAAATTTGTACCAAAATTCTCGCACATCCGTTTTTTCCAACGTCAGCATTTTCCTAATCCAATCTAGGCATGAGGAAAATTATGATTTTTTGCAACATATTTTTAAGCATAAAGTATTTTTATTATTAAAAAATGCATCCTGATTAGTATATTGGATGGTCAAGATTTTGAGGCTGAGGGATTAATTTCGACTGTTAGAAAATAATGCGTTTAATTTTGTGACAATAATATCTTTCTCAGGTTGTTGATGAGCATAAATCAATTTTTCGTTCTTTTCTATCTCCTTCACTTGTATGTTCTTTATCGAATTTACTTGATCTTTTATCGAAGAACCATTGAATAGTAAATTATACAATGTTTCTAATAAATCCGAAATGTCTTTTTTACTGGGATTCATTGGCGATTGAAGTTTTTGAAGATATAAACCTTTTAGTTTTTCCAGACCATTCAAAACGTATTGATTGTTTGCACCCATACTATGTTTCAATCTTTCTTCATTTACAAAATAATTCATGTAATCAATGAATGGATCATTAAATGCTGTTATTGAGTTCGTTTTCAAAAACTGAATGAGTACAGCAGAAATTTTTATGAGTGTTTCTTGTTCTTCTCGTAATGCCTTCATTCTTTTAACCAGCTCGCGACCTGGATCAACTCCTACTTGCCCTTTAATTACTTCGTAATGCACTTCTTGTTTTGTTCTATAAGAAATGTGCATGTGATAATTCCATGGACATTTACGTTTTCGACATTGTTTCGTAGCCAGTGTCATAATCTCACATGATTGTATAGCGGGATTATTGATTGTATCATGTTTAACATTACGTAAATAGTATGGATCATGACACACGGTAGAATAATCAATTACATCGAATTCACGAGTTTTTACATATTTCACGCATGTTGAGTTCGTACATACTGTTCGAGGATATTGGAGTGGCTCACGAATGAGTTCAACGTGTGGAATAACACTATCATTTTGATTTATTGGTTTTGCGTCAAATTCATTCTTTTTGTCATCCAATAATTTTAGATTAAACTGAATATTTCGTGCTGCTTCTAAAACAGGTCTTGCTAATTCTTGGATCATCTTTCGTATCTCATTGAATTCAACTGTTTCATGTAAATTGTATCTTGCACACGATAAAATGTATTATATAAATCGAAATGATTCGTCAACAGATATATCCCAACTTCTAGAACATTCAGTTTGCTGTTTTTCATCAAACTTCAAATTTGCCTTTGTGCTCGCTAAGTAACGGAATGCTTCATCATCAAAACAAAATGTATTCTGTTTACTGAACGGTATATCAATTTTATTTGTTTCTTTTAATTCTTTCAATAACTGTTTCAATAATGGCGTTGTGTTACCCGGTGAATAGAATGTTGAACGGGCGTTTGTAAAACAGAATATAATATTGTTTTTGGCATTAACGTTCAAATAAGTTAGTAATTGTATTATGCAAAAACGAAAAAATGTGTTTAATCTTGAAGCATTTGGTTTCAATAACATACAAATGGCCTTAAGATGCTGATAGTGGCTGATATAGGAAATAATATGTTCTAAATTGGAACCATCTTGTTCTAAACCTCTTGTATCACCAACACCAGGCGTATCGATTATTCGTATTTTCCGCAATTGGAAATACATAACTCCGGCAACCTTGTGTTGCCGATTGGCCAGCTACATTATCTTCATTTGGATCTGCGTTTCCGACTCTAACCTCTTTTTGTTCAAATTTCGCTATTCGTTATGGTAAACGTTGTTGGAATTAGCACGATGGTCTCACCATCTACAGCGTGACTGAGTTTGTTGTGTGTTATATAAGTGACAAATGCATTAATGAATGTTGATTTTCCCACACCCGTTTCACCTAACAGAAGAATATTGATGTCATTCTTCACGTACGATTCACTTGTTGCAGATGACGTTTGCTGTTCTTGTTTATCATCTTCAGTTATCAGCCGTCCATTTTTGTAATAATAAATGATGTTTTTGCGCGGCTGATATTCATCGGCACAATTTGTACAATCCATATGTACACACTGTGTTTGCTTATCTTTACCATTACTCGTGGCCAAAAACTGTTTCCAAGCATCAGATTCACTAAGGCAATTTTCTGTTATTGAGTAAAATACGTAACAATCGCCTTTATCAAAGCGAGATGGTAATCGTTTAGCAAAATTAACAAAATTGTTCGTTTGTGAAGTTGACGTTGCTGATGCTTTCGCTGCCAGATCAAATTCAGGACAATGTGTTGCGATATCAAAGTAAAGGATGTCATGCTTTGCTAGAGAATGAATGAACAAGGCTTTACGTTCCAGTTCTTTTTCTGTATTTAGATCATTCTCAATTTGAGCTGCTGAATAAGGCTGCGTTTGATAATATTTCAACAGTTTTTCAATCTCATTTTGATTTGAGCGCATTGAACGAATGGCGAATATAATGGATGATAATGCTGACGAAAATGTTGTTGCCCAGTTCTTACTTCATCTAAAAGTTTCTTGTATTTCACAGAACGACGACTGATCTACGAATTACTGGTGCATTGCAACAAATGAACAAAATCGTTCAACTTATGTATCGTTTTTTGTAAATAATCAAACTCGTTTACTACTAATGAAACAATATCGCTCTTCCAGGGTATTATTGTGCAAATTTGATTTATTTTATATCCTGATAATTTCGTTTTTACGTACTGTTTTATCGAAAATAAAGTATAATACGTTGGAGCTAATAAACTTTTGTGTCTTATCACGTTTGAAATATCTTTGATATGCGAAACTAAATCTTTTCCATTAAGAGGTGGAAGTTTAGTGTCATCCGACGTAATGGTAAAAATGTCCATGAATGTGTGAATTTGCTTAAAAATTCTGTTTCGTCTTTGGTTAGCTGAGTGGATGTTAGTTCATATTTCATCAATAAAACCAATTTTTCTAAAATCTGTGCTAACGTTGATTTAAAGTCACTTTGTTTCCCTGGAAGTACATCTTTCATTTCAAATGTAACTACTGTAATGAAACCCAGTTCCACAGCAAAGACAAAATGAGTGGCGTTAGTCTTTGTCAGTTTACTTGATATGATACATTTTACAGCGTCTTTATGATACATCTGAAATTCTTCTCTCTTTAATCTGTTTTTTTTAAAAAATTTCTTATTCTAAAATGATCCTAAAACTGCGCAAGAAGAACTAAACTATTCCTGATAAAAGTTTCGTTTCTTCCACATTATGACCATATGCATATGACTAGTTTGTTCCTTTTTTATTTTAGTAAAATTGACGTGTTTGAATTATAGTTGTAAAATAGAATCATGTTAGGTTAGATTTTCTGATACGGTTAGAACTGTGTTATCAAGTTTTTCTATTTTTTCATACTGTATATAATTATGTATTTTTGCATATTTATTTACATAATGTTGTTGTCCTAAGAGGAAGATTTAATATTTTTTTTTTTCGTTATAAAATAAAAAACTTAATTAAGTAAATTGTGTACATATTGCTTTTTATTGCAATACAAAACTTAATTATCAGCAAAGATTCGACATTACTCAGTCGACATTACTTTGGACATTACTACAAGATTTGTTGCCGATTAATCTGAAGGAATAAATTATAATAACTGCTAGAGATATAACAATACTCTATACAACTTTGTTGTCTCGAACCTTCTTTCCTCTTTTAGTCAAAATAGTTGAAACTAAGTTAAAACAGTGTTGTTAACAAGTATCTTCATGAAAAAGAAAGAGAAAACATACATCGTCTTGTAGCTATCATTATCGGTATAGGATAGAATGGTCCGATGCCTCTCGTGCAAGAACAATCATGGAAGATGTCCTAGTGATCATCAAACAAGAAAGCTAGTCTGACAGAGAATATTTTTATTTATAATTATGTTTTAAAAAATTATTCAAATTCAATATAAATATTAGCTAATAATTTGGTCGACGATAGTATAACTTAATGTCAAAAATTCCTTCATAGTGATAGCGTAAACTTTTTAAAATTTTTGTAGAAAAAAAGTTTTAAAATTGATGATAGCGACACAAAATCTTCTCAACAATTTTCTCAATATTTGAAAAGTGAAATAAATACATTAAGATAAATATAGTGTAATCTTTATCTTTCATTGATCTAATGACTAGCATTCGTTTGAGTGTAAAATGTTATAAGTACATGCAAGTGTTTAACTTCACATCAATAAACAACTATTGCAAATTGATTGTGTCTATGTTGAACATTATTGTAAAACAATCATTAATTGTGTTATAGTGTCAAAAATTATTTTTCAAAAATACAAGAAAATTGGATTTGTAAAGTATTTTTTATTTTATTTTAAAATATAAAATAAAATTCAAAAAGTGTGTACATAGCAGAAGTAGAAGCAAAAGAGGAAATCTTAATGTAGGTGTTGAAACACAAAACATATGATAGAGAAAGAGAGAGAAAAAATTTTGTTTTCGTCTCTTGTTATTTTAAAAATATTTAAAAATTGAATATAAAAAAGTAGTGAGTGAAAAGAGACATTTAGTGTTTATTTTCTTTCTTTTTTTTTTTTTTTTTTTCTTTTTCAACTGTTCAAGTATGTGTTTAATAAAAATGCTTTTCAGTACAATATTTGCGTTTGAAAGCATCTATTCTGTCTGGAATCAATAATTTTTTCTTCGAAAAAAAAGAAAAAATCAATTCTTTCGTGATTAAATATTATCATCATTACGAACTTTGTAATTGAGAAGGTTACAATCATGGATTTTAATAGTTTAACATTAACGTCCTTTGGTTCAAAGAAGAGTGATCTTACACAGACAAAATGTAGTCCAATACCAAAATTACCTAAAATTGTACTGAGAAATTCAATGGGTAAGAAAAAAAATAAAATAAAGAAGAAAATATTGATAATACGACTACTATTGAGATTTATACTTTAGGTTATCCATTAAAGACAAATACATCATTTCAACGTGCTATATACGATGCAAAAAATAAACTTTTAGAACCTAATAGACGTTTAACGGAACTTGAATGGCGGTATAGATTTAAATATTATTTTTTGAAATACGAAACTATTAAATAGTCTAAATTTAGTCTACCACATGCTCCATGCCCATCGAGACCCGATTATTCACGATCACTTGAATATGATGATTTTCGATCACTGAAACGAAGTCCAAAACCAATGGATAATAATAAAATTGAACATTGGGATATGTCATTTTGGGTAAGATAGTATTGCATCTAACAAAAAATTTTGTCTATAAATTTATGCATAATAAATGATAATGAAGAGGTGATGATAGGATACAAATTGTATAAATATTAAAATTATTTAAAATAGATTTTCCTTGATAGGCAATGTTAAGAGCCAATTTTGGCTTTGAATTAAATTTTATATATGCAGAATGAAGCATTAGTAGACATTGTTTTTGTTTTATTGTTTTATTTTTCAGTTTTTTTCAGACTTCTTCTGATAAAAATGGTAATTTTATTAAACATGCATGTTGAAAAACACTCATGATCATCTTTGATCAGTGAGATATAAATACCAGTCCCTAGCCTTTTTTTTTTGAGTTAAAAATTTGAATGATTTTTTATATTTCTACTATTTTTAGTCCAATTTTCCCATACCTAAACATTGTTACTTTCAAAATAGATAGTATAGATCATCAATTTCATCATAAATCATTGTTACAGAAAAATTTTCAACAAGAGTTATCAAGAAATAAGATGTGAATAGATTGACGATATTAGAAGCTCGAAAAAAAAATTGTTTTCATTCAGTGTTTTGATCCAATTTCCTGGAGTTCGATGATAGATATTTTAAAGTAACTGCACACATTTTATTGAGTAAAAAAGTGAATCAATTTTTTTGTAAGTGATCCTCTGACTTCCCTCCTAATCAACATTACTGTTCCGGTTTTTCCTTCAACACAAATCTTCTCCTTGTTTTCAATCTCGTTTCTATTTCCGGTGATTTCATCTAAAGAACTGTCAAACTTTTTTTATCAATGTTAACTTTGAATAATATTTTATTATTTAGAATTATCTACTACCCGATTTAAGATTAGATCGTAGTACGTACGTATCTGTGCTTTGTCTTGAATAGTAGCTGTACAAAATTTATTTTTGTTATAATTATAGTGTGGATTTGGAAACTCTGGAAAAATATTATAAAACAAAAGAAGTTGTTCCACATCCAGGTAATTATCAAACTCTCTCTGTCTCTCTCTCTCTCTCTCTCTCTCTTTGCTCATAAATCATTTTCATCTTTTCCTTGTAGAATTTATTGATGCCTTTAATTTTCGTTCTTTGAAAAATGTTCAAAATCTCGTTCTACCTATTGTATCATCAAGATTTTCTATTGACAAATTGATTCCAGGCTTAAAAGATATGGACTACAGACAGTATGTCAGACAATTATTTTGACTTAAAATAAAAATGTTCGTCTTTTTGATGTTTTTTTCTTTTTTTAGAAAAATGCTTCTTACGCAAGTATTATCAACATTGTTAACCGATGGTTTTGCTTCACTGGAAGATTTACCGGCTAATGTACGAAATGATGTTTTACTCAAATTGGCTGAATTAGCTAGTGAAGGAAAATTGTCAGCAGAAATGCAAGAAAAATTATTTGCCGAATTAGCCCAAAATTTAGCATCATTACCACCAGAATTAAGAGCAAAAAGTAAATAAATTTGTTTACATCTATTAGTTATATGATATGAATATTATGTTATTATTTTTTTTCAATAATAGTTACTGAACAATTAATTAAATCTATGGATAGTTTACCACCAGAAGTACGTGAACAAGTAATACAACAATTGTTAAGTACCATTGATACATTACCAGAAGAAGAACGACAAAAAGTATTACATGATTTAGTTAAAAATTTAGCATCAATGCCTGAAGAAGCACGTCATCAATTAATTAATAAACTTATGGAAAATATGAATGATTTAGAACCTGAATCACGTATAAGATTATTACAAGAATTATTACGTGATGCTGATGGATTAACGCCAGCTATGAGAGATAATATTCTTCAAAATCTTCTTGATAGTTTAGATACATTACCACCAGAAGAGAGAGAACGTGTTTTAGCAGAATTAACTAAAAATTTAGCTAATTTACCACCAAGTATTCGTCAACAACTTATCGATAAATTATTAGAAAAATCTGAAGAATTACCACCAGAAATTCGTGATCAAAGTACGAATGATATATATATATATATATCATTGATTAAATATGTTTGTACAATAAGTATAAATTTTTTCTTTTAGTGTATGCTGAATTATTAAAAAATGTCACTGATATGCCAGATGAAATGAAACGAAAACTTGTTGTAGAATTATTAAAAAATGTTGATAATATGCCAACAAGTATTCGACAACAAGTGATGAAGGTAATTTATAATTCATAATTAAATTATCAAATATTAAATTAAAATAGTCTTGTGTTTTTATTTATTTTACTAGGAAATATTAAATAATTTAGAATTAATTGATGGTACAATGCATGGACAAGTTCTTCAAGATTTTCTAAAATCATTAGCTGATTTACCAGAAGATGAACGAGATGAATTAATGAAAAAAATAATTGAAAAAACAGCAACATTAGATGATCCAGAAATAAAACGACAATTATTAGAAGAAATATTAAAAAATCCTGAAAATTTATCAGCAAGTGCATTACAAGAATTAGTAAAAAATGTTGGTGAACTTCCACCAGATTTACAAAAAAAACTTTATCAAGAATTATTGAATAAAAAAGATGATTTATCACCATCTGTTTTAGAAGAAATAATTCGTAATAGTGCCAATGTTCCACAAGAAGTACTTATGGAATTATTAAAATCTGTTGATAAATTAGCACCATCAACATTAGCTGAATTAGCCAAACATTTAAATGTTTTACCAGATGAAGTACGATCAAAATTATTTTCTGAAATGATGATGTCTATGGATAATCTTGATGATGAACAAAAAGCCGCATTATTAGGTGAATTATTAAAAAATCAAAATAATTTAAATGAACAACAAATGGCACAATTAATGAAAAATTTAGATCAACTTGATCCAGCATTAAAAGAAAAAGTTTTACAAAATCTTTTAGATAATGTAGATACTTTACCACCATCAGTTAAAGAAAAATTATTAAATGATTTATTAAATAATCAAACAGATATGGATCAAGAAACACGTGTTAAATTATTAACAAAATTATTAGAAAATCCAGGAAATTTAACAGAAGCTGAAAGAGAAAAAGTTTATAATGAATTAATGAAAGAAATTGAAAATGTTAAAGGTATATAGAAGAGGAGAGAGAGAGAGAGAGAGAGGAAAAAAACCTAGAAAGAGAAAGTGATTGACATTTTTATTGTTATTATTTTATGTTTTATAAAGATCCAGAATTAAAAAAGAAAATGATTAATGACATGATTCAAAATTTAAAAGATATACCACCAGAAGCTGTTCAACAATTATTATCAAATATTAACGATTTACCACCTGGTCAACAAAAAGAATTACTTAAACAAATATTAGAAAAATTTGATCAATTACCTCCAGAAATGAAAGAAAAACTTGTCGATGATTTATTAAAATCTGCTGCTGGTAAGATTATTTCTAATAGAGAAATTAGAATACAGACAACTAAAACAAAAAAAAACAATGATATATATGTTTTAGGTTTACCACCCGATGTTCAAACACAAATAATCAATGATTTATTAAAAGAAATGAAAGATTTACCGATTGAAGAACGTACAAAATTGATGCAAAAAGTACTTGATAATCCAAATTTGGATCCAACTGTACGTGCTAAATTAATGGAAGAAATGCTCAAGACAATGAGTGATTTACCACCCGAAGAGAGACAAAAATTAATTGAATTAATGTTAGAAAATAGTGATAATTTAGGTAAAAATAAAACGTTGTTGTTTGTTTTATTTACAATATTTTTCTAGTCTTTTTTTGTTTTTGTTAAAATACTATTATTTATAACTAGATCCAAAAACAAAAGCAAAATTAATGGAAGAAATGTTAAAAACAATGAGTGATTTACCACCAGAAGAAAGACAAAAATTATTAGAAAAAATGTTAGAAAATAATGGAGAAAATATGGATCCAAAAATAAAAGCAAAATTAATGGATGAAATGTTAAAACTTGATTTACCACCAGAAGAAAGACAAAAATTATTAGAAAAAATGTTAGAAAATAGTGCTAATATTGATCCAAAATTAAAAGAAAAATTAATGAATGAAATGGTTAAAAATCTTAATGAATTACCACCTGAACAACGTGAAAAATTTCTTGCATCACTCGTTAGTGATCCAGATAAAAAACATTTATTAAAAGAATTAATAAATAATGGACAATTAAATGCTGATATGAAAACACAATTATTAAAAGAAATAACAAAAAATTTAGATACAAATCCTCTTAATACATCGACATTAGTCGATTTATTAAAACAATCAAAAGAATTACCACCTGATGTTATTGAAAAAGTATTAAAAAGTGTTGAAAATATGTCAGCAAAAGAATTAAATGAATTGGCAAAAAATTTAGATCATTTACCGCCGGATATGAAAGAGAGAGTAATGAAAGAAATTATGAAAAATTTAAAAAATCTTGATCCTAAAGCACAAGCGACAATACTTCAACAAATGTTAAATAATACGGATAATTTAGATCCAAAAGTATTAGAAGAAATTATGCGAAATGTTGCTAATTTAACACCAACAGCTATAAAAGAATTATTAAGAAAAGCTGATAAACTTCCACCTGACGCACTTAAAGAACTATTGAAACATGTTGATCAAATACCGGTCTCCGTATTAGAAGAGTTGATAAAAAATGCTGATCAATTGGCACCAGAAGTTATTGCCGCATTATTAGCATCAAAAGATTTACCGCCAGCAATTAGAGAAAAATTACTCAAAGAAATAAATAAAAATAAAAAATTAAAAGAAAAATTAAAATGTATAAATGTGTTGATGTATTTTCTTCTATTGTCTAACACTTTTTCTTCTTACTTTTAGCTCTTGATCCATTGACACAAGGTGTTCAAGGTAAATATTGGCAATGTTCTAAGAAAATTACTCATTATTTAGTTAATTTTATATGAATAGGTGTTGGAAAAGTTCAACCAAAAGCAAAACCGGACGCAAAAAAACCAAAACTAGTACGTTTCTATTCTATCTAAAAAAATAGATTATTCAAAAAGAGAGTATCTTATTGTTATTTTTATAGGATGTTCCAAAACCAAAAACAGGTTCCGAAAAGAAAATACGCGATTTATATGAGAAACTATTTGGAAAAGATGTAAGAAATACGAAGATTCAAAAAACAAAAACTGTTTTCTGTAATAAAAAATGTTGACTTATTTGACAGGTAACTGGTCGTCTCGACATGGATATGGATTTTCTTGCTGGTATTGATGAAAGTGAATTGGAAGATATATTTCAAGATCCAGAATTTCTCAATATGGATCCAAATTTATCACCAGAAGCACGTAAAAAATTAATTGAAGAAATTCGGTATGATTTTTTTTTCTTTGTTACGTACATTGTCATAAAGCGGATTATTTACTTTTTTTTGTTATTTGTAGAAAAAAACGTTCTAAACGACGCATTGCTGATGTACCACCACTTTCAAAAGAAAAACTACAAGATATTGAGGATCCACTCGATTATTTGTACAAATACTGCATAATACAGTAAGATTTAGAATTGTGCTTGGTTTTTTTACTAAACATTGA